TCGGTCAGCGTAAAGGTGTCTCAGAGAGATCATTTTTTGCCGATAACGTTGTTTTCTGGGAAAAGTTAATTTTTAGACAAAGATTTAGGAGGCAAGGTGAAGTCTCTGCAGGCACATGGTTGGGATACATTTAAAGGATTTCGTTTATGTGGCGTATCGGAAAATCCATCGGAATGTTAAAGAGGGAAGGAATTACATAAAATAAAACCGTTATCTCGCCTACTGGAGAAGTAAGGCTTTTATTTATTTTCTATGAGCTGTTTTGAATCTCTAATAGGTTTTTTTGTAAGTAAATATTTTTACGAAACTAGCAACTTCGGAATCTTGCATTTGGCCGAAATACTAGGTCTATAAATCGCAGGATGTGAAGGAGGGGACTGGTTGAGCACCGGGACAGACTGTCTATTGTTCTCAGCTTTGAAAATTGTACAGGAGTCTACCGTCAGCGAGAGGCGCGACAGAAGTACGAGTGACAGTCGTAGGACGTGCTAGCCAATCAACGATCGATGGTGTAAGACTGGAGGTAACTGCGCAGGGCTGCGTACATCGGCACCATACCGATAAACTGATTGACTGAGTTCTCATCTGAGGCCCAGAATTCAGTCAATTCTTAATCTCTTTTGTTTCCGGCGAGAGCTATTATCTTGGTGGCTGCTAAATTAAATTCAAGATCCATTTCGTAGATGCGGCCGGCCATTTGTGATGATACGTCGCCTCCTCATGTAGTCGCGATCCAAACATGCGTCTATTCCATATATTTTTGAGAAAGTTGACTCATTCTGCTTAAAGAGCTTAACAGAAAGCAACGAGAATAGTCGCCCGATTTTAGGGCGTTTGCACTATTTTTTCGATGTATGAGTCCAATAATTTTGTAGGTACGGAACTCAGAGGTTCGTGTGCTGTATGTCGGCGCCTGTATAACAAAGAAGGACGATGGCGCCCTGGAGGTAAGACACCCAGTTGAGGTTTGCACCGATAGAAATATCGATCCTGATGTTAAACACAAAAGTATCAAGGTCAAATGAAAACGAACACAACCATTTCTGTCAGGGTGTAGTTGCCACGCGATTATTAGACACAGATGAAGTCGTACGAAGTCGATCCTGTGGGTTAAACTTCGAGTCAATTGTTAGGCACAGTTAATAAGATAACTGACTTGTACACCACTTGTGTCTGATGGCCAGCTAAGTGATCGTTCTCGAACGCTTACGTGATAAGGGCTTTTTCATTCGCAAAGAATTGTACACTTTATAATTCATATATTTTACGAAGTGTTAAAAATACTTGAGAGAGGCCTGTGTCCATGCCTGGCTGATGATGGCACAAACTCAGAAAAATTCATTTCAACCCCCCTATATTTGTCAACAGCGTCTATCGGTCGGTAGTTTTTTCATTGTTGGCTCCTGTAAAAGGCATGCACTGCTTGTTGAACGCATTTTGCATTCAAATGCAGATCCTTGAAATTAGGCGCGGTGAAGATAAGCATATGCGTGGGGTAAGGAAAAGTATGGAGTACCGTCTACATTATTTTTAAAATTAGGTGTTTTTCGGTGGAGTTTTTGGTCGGCCATTCGCCGACAGGATGACATGCACCATTCCGAGAAGTCGGGTGCCGCTGGCCCATTGTTCTGCTTCCCAACAGCCAATTTTGTAGTAAGAGAAAAGCTCATTAAAAAAAAATGGTCGGCACAGAGTGCAGTCTGGCAGAATGCATATGTCTGCCAGTTAGGCAGTAGTATTAAACCGTTAGTAACTCTCTTAATTAGCGATCAGAATTCTCACATCTCGCGCGTATACCTAATCCTTGTCTTTGACGTGATAAAAAAGCGAAAACATATTTACCCTGAAAGCAGACAACAAGGCGATCTTAACAAAGGCTCATAGTGCGCTTAGGGAAACTACTGTCGATATAATGTGTTTATACTGCGAATTCAAAATACGTCTTCTGACATGCGTTATACTTTGTGGAGTTGCTGACAGAACTTCAGCCTGACGTGACATTTCGGAGGGATTCCAAACCTATTACTAATTCTCTATTTGCTCTTTTTAATTGATAGGTTTTAGATCTATGAGGTGGTTAAATCTTTTTTAAAAATTAACGCAAGTTCTTATTTAGCTGACTGATCTATATACAAAAGATGACACTTATAACCATTATTGAAAGGCTTAAAGTAAGCAGCGCAGCCTTAAATCAAACCCGCCTATGCTGCTTTCCTTACATATAAAGAATAAATCACTTGCGTCGCGACAGGGCTGCCAACAAGTGAACAGCGTTGGTTAAGCCCAAATACACTGTCCTGTCTCTGTTGGAAACATTCTCAATAGTGATCAAACAAAAATGAAGGTCCGCAATTAATTGAACTTGATCTTGGTGTCCAAAAATTGACTCATCGTTTACTTTGATCTACCGAGGCACACAGCGGCAATAGTTAAGTAGCAGTAGCACGCGAACAGAGGCTGCCAACTTAGACACTTTTAATAAGAAATCCGGGAAAATTAGGGATACCGCTCTCTTCCACATGGTCAATTCTCTCGAAGACGAACTAGTCGCTAGTGACTTGAATATTATATAAATCTGTAGGTTGAAAAAAGCACAGAAGGTGGGCTAACTCACGAAATGACAATCGAAATTCCGATATGCGTTTTCGTTTCGAAAATATTAATTACTTATGGTTATAAAACTAATCAGTATGCACCATCAGTCTAATTTAAATAGATGCCTCAGGATGCCGGCTTTCGATTAAACTTCCTTCCGGCTGCATGCAAAAACCATATTATGTACAAGATGGATACTTATTTAGCATGAATCTTTCTCATTAATTTTCGATGCCCGTAACAGTTAAATTATATTTCATGTAAAACATGCATAAAAATATTTATTCTTTTGCTCATTCGGCAGATTAGTACGTCTTCTTCTAATGTTATTCTCGAAGGACTGACATAAATCGGTTTCCAAAAGGGTTATAACTGTAGAACTTTTAAAAACCGTGAAATGGCGACTCATAAACCGGCATATCTCTGCATTTACCTATGTGGCTTGTAAAGTTGACAATATGGATCAAATGCACTGCTAAATTTCATGAACCCTATATGGTCCCCCTTTCTTACCGTAGAGCAATGTGTGGTTTACTGTAAGCGGAAAATATATGGCTTATAGTTTTGAAACCCTAAAAGCAAGGGTAACAACCGGTCGGGTTTAAAATTATTCGGGAATCGAAAAAAATACGTTGAAAACCTAATTATACCCTTCGTCCGAGTAAAAGATTGGAAATAAGATGTAATTTTGTATCGCAGGATCGAAGAAATGAATATTTTTATGCGTTTCTTCCACGAAATATAATAGAACTTTTAGGGGCATCGAAAATCAATGAGAGAAATTTATGCTACATAAGTACCCATTTTTACAGAGTGTAGTTTGTGCATGCAGCCGGAATAAATTTCTATCAACTGCCGGCATCCTGAGGTAACTATTATAATTTAGAATGATTTTTCATACTGAATAGTTTTACAACCATATGTAATTAATATTTTCGAAACGAAAATGCATTTCGGAATTTTGGTTGACATTTAATGAGTTAGCTCATCTACTGTAAGTCCGAGTTATCACTTCCTGTATAATTTTTAAAATTCAGCCCACTGAATAAACTCTCTGGGTGATGTGATTGATTAAGCTTGATATTTAAGTGAATGCCAGATTGTAAAAATCTCGGCGGTCTTTGTGCGTTTCGAATCCACTAACCAAGCGATACAACCAACGATACAACCGACTGAGAGGCCAAGCCCCGACAAAGAGCGTCGAGTTCCTTACAGTAAGTGGGTCAACTCATGAAATCTCAACAGAAATTCCGAAATGCGTCTTCTCTTCGAAAAAATTAATTATGTAGAATTCTAAAACAAATTAGCCTGCAGCATAATTATACAATAATTTAGTTACCTCAGGATGCTGGCTTTCGAGCGGACTTCCTTTTGGCTGCATGCAAAAACTACAGTCCGTAACAAAGGACTACTTAAGTAGTATGCATTTTTTCATTGATTTTCGATGCCCATAAAGATTTAATTATATATCATGGAAAATATGCAACAAATATTCGTTTTTTGCCCATTAAGTAGAAACTGGCGTCTTATTTCAATTTTACACTCAAACAAAGGGTACAATTCGGCTTAAAAAGAGCTTCTAATTGTGAGATTTTTCATACCGTGAAATGGCCCTTCATAAAACCTGAAGATGACGTACGTGACTAGTACGGCCATAATCGTCACCTGGGAGCGTGCCATCTCTCCGTCTCGGATCCCACTGGATGGCAATGTCAAAGAGGGCTCCTAAAGAAGGAGTCACTTTAGTCTCTTTCTCAATTCGCCATCCGGCCACTTCGCACAAACAAACTCAGAACTGACTGCGAGGCCCGAGTTACACCATCAGTTGGCAGCCTTTCAAGCCATGAATTTTAGTGCCCCATAATAGCTTCAAGCACATCAGATTGTTTATAGCAACGAATATGGTTTGAGACCGTCGACCTCAATCACTATTCTCACTCTTAGGCACCAGCCCACTGTCCGAGCCGGTGGTGCGGCGAGTGAGCCCCATTGCAGAATAACTCAAGCTCGAGTCGCGGGCGCTATTTCTTCCCCGAGGGAGATGCGGTGAACGACGTTGTTTGCGACAATTCAACTTTCATAGGTATATATTTGTACATTCCAGATACGTAATTCTCAAATCACAGCCATCTACCTAATAGTCTTACTATTTGGTCAAGCGGATATGAAGTTATCGGTTTACATGCGGTTAATTCAAATAGCTAAAGTGTACCGCTTATTACAAGCGTTTAACTCTCCCAAAGGTTTTGAAGAAGGAGACACGATCGCCGGGACAAGAGCTTTATTGGCCTGACGTTTTGGATTACTACTCGAATCCATCATCAGAGACAAAAGAGCAGAAACGGGTGGTTGTTGAACAAGGGTCTGCGGTAGTTATAGGATGCAGTAGCCATGCTACCGCATACCTATGAACATTCACGGCTCCCCCCTTCATCCGGGATCGTAGCGCTTGGTGTGATCATTGCTTGATGGCCGACATTCGAGTCCATAATTGCTGCAATTTTATCACGTGCGTTGGATGTTGGCGTGATGATTGCTCGACCATCTGACGCATCGACCCCGGTGTTGGGAAGAGTGTTCACCTCTGCGCTCCCCGCATAGCCTGTTACCCCGCCTAGGCGAAATTTCAGCACGGAGTATGGAATGGGAAGATCGTTGCACTTGTTGATGGACTGGCGGCCAGTAAACCATGATTCCAGTAGCTCCCGGCTCACTCGGTTGTTACCTCTTGCGAGAATTTCGGCCTCATCGAATTTAAATGTGTGGCCGGATCTCGTCGAATGAACTGCAACTTGAGAGCTGGCGTCATTTCTGCGCACCGCTGCCGCGTGTTCGGCCATTCTCGTTCGGAGCTGTCTTCCGGTTTCTCCAACGTAGTTGCTTTGTCCGCAACTGCACCAGATCCGATAAACGACTCCAGAAGTTTCTAGCCGTGGCAGTGGGTCTTTCGGTTTCATGATCAGACGCTTGATGGTTGCCTCCGGTCTGTGTGCCACTCCAACCCCAAGTGGTGCGACATACGGAAGTGCCCGCCAGGACTTGGTGTCCGTGCGGTTAGGCCTTTTGTCCCTTTTGCGTATGCACCGGTCGACGAAGTTGCGCGGGTAGCCATTGGCTCTGAAAACCCGTCGGAGGTATTGTAGTTCAGCAATTTTGTCTTCCGGCTCACTACAGTGCGTTTCGACACGCCGATAGAGCGTCCTTACACAACTGCGTTTGTGGCTGATTGGGTGGTTACTGTTGAAGTTCAGTACTTGCATCGTATTTGTCGCTTTCCTGAACACTTTGGTCTTAAGTCCACCGCAATCCTTGCGGTATACGAGGACATCCGGGAAGGCCAGCTGGTTGTTCTCTTCCTCCTCCATCGTAAATTGAATGTCCGGGAAGACGGCGTTGAGATGTTCGTGGAATGTCAACACCTGATCCCGTTCGATAACGACGAAGTTGACATCCACATACTGGGCCCAGAATTTCGGTCTGTGGTGTTGGAAGACCAGCGACTCTAACCGTTGCAGGGCCGCCTCGGCGATGAATCCCGAAATCAGCGAACCCATTGGTGTGCCCTTCACCTGTTCGTAGATTGTCCCGTTGAACGTGAAGTACGTCCCGAGACAGAGCTTCAAGAGCTGAAGCATTTGGGCGTGTCCAAGACGGTTTTCCATTTCATCGTATTTGCTTTGTAGTAGCAGCTCAATTGTCTCGATCGCCAGGTCCTGGGGAATAGAAGTAAAAAGGGATGTAACATCAAAAGATACCATGACCTCATTTGGATGGATGCTTACCCCTTTGAGTTTCTCCAGGAATTGTGCTGACGAAGAGACCGTGGTGTCTGACTCAGCGGTCAGGAACTTGAAACGCCGGAACAGCCACTTCGCCAGTCCGTACGTTGGAGTCCCTTTGAGCGACACGATGGGTCGGAGAGGAGCGCGTCTTTGTGCACCTTAGGGAGGCCATAGAATCGGACCAAAGCCGTATCTTGGGGTCTCGCCATGCGTCTGTCGGTCGGTTTTATTGCGCCTGAGTTCTCCAAAGCCAACAACGTAGCATTAATTTCGCGTGTCAGCGCCTTTAAAGGGTTCGTTGCACATGGGACATAGAACTGTCGGTCCTCCAGTAAACCTTTGGCTTTCTGTAGGTAGTCTATCCTGTCCAGTACAACTGTGGCGCGTCCCTTGTCCGCTGGCACGATGACCAGGTCTTTGTCGGCCTTGAGTTCTCTAAGCCCATCACGTTCGACCTTGGAAAGCACTTCCCGCGGCCTGTGGGCCATCAGGAGAGACGACACTTGGTGTCGGATGAGGTTCTTAGTCTCCTCCGTTGCCTCCGTCTGACAAAGGATTGATTCCACTGCTGCAATCATGTTAACAGGTTTGGCGTCAGCCGTGTTAAATGAAGCTTCGTGCCGTAAAACCTGCATCTGGTCCTTCGTCAGCTCCTTTGATGACAGGTTGTGCACCCGTTTGTCGTTTCTGGGCGACGTTGGATTTGGCAGCTTTCCTATAAATACCGCAGCCCCTTGTGCAACAACCACCCGTTTCTGCTCTTTTGTCTCTGATGATGGATTTGAGTAGGAATCCAAAACGTCAGGCTAATAAAGCTCTTATCCCGGCGATCGTGTCTCCTTCTTCAAGACTACTTCCTGGGACTCGGCTCTTCGTCTCGCAAAGGTTGTTGCCAAATTGTAGATATCTGAAAATCTCATGGACTTCGTCAAAATGCGGAGGCCGTTGTCTCAGATGACTGTCAATAGTAATATTAATATAAAGTCGACGTATGCCTCTGCATTCTGACTGCGAATGTCAGAATGGTCTTCACTTGACTTTACTTGAGAATTTTCTAAACCTTCTGTGCTCTAACCTAGGAGGTCCCATTCTCATAGCGCCGCTCCGCTTTTTTTGTCAATTCCCTAGGGAACAACGTCGAAAGCGGAGTGGGTAATGGAAAACACGTGAGAATGTGCAATTACCTTGTTATTTCGCCGATGTTCACAACATATATCTGAGCAGTCGGTACAGTTACCGCTAGTTCACATAATATGTCGTAGACCCGAATGGGCCAGCCCAGAGGATTGCACAACGAGGCCATTATTTTCCTTTATTTTATGCCCTAGTGGACACTTTCCGGAAACTGGCTACAGCACATAAAAATAGCAGATCTTTATCAGCTTACTCCCGAGAGTACGTGAATACTTCTCATGGAGAGGAACATTTTTTCCTCCTGTGCTGAGCTTGAAATTGACAAAAGTCGCATTTCTCGGTTTCGAAAAATTTTGTTTTTTTTCAGAATAACAACTACGGATTTTCTGAGAAGGATCGCTCTCTGTGCCCAAAAAATTGTAGGGTTAAGTAAAGTCTTGTTTCGTCTGCCCAGACGAAACTACCACTGTTCTTGATGTCTCTTGCCTGTTTTTGGGTGTGCGAACTGGTTGACTTTAAATTTGCAGTCCTTGGACGACAACGTCCAGTCGTGATCCAAGAGTTGTCAGTCGCCTCCGTGAAGCTCTTTGTCCAACATCCTCCCTGCAAGACGTAGAATGCCTCTCATCGTCGCTACCCATTTTTGCATGAATTATTGATTTCCTGCTGCTCAGGAAGCCGGATGTATCATGAAAACGCGAAGGGGAATTAGAAAATACAACTTCGGTTCAAAGAATTTGTTTGATAGGAGTTGAAGCGTTGATTATCATTCAGAATACTGCAGAAAGGATTTCAGTCAGGTCAGGATGTCGGTTTCCAGTTAAATAAAAATAAAGTTCACTTTAAGAGGGTCATTTGAATGGCAGACATTTGCCGTTGGTGTTCGGTGTCCTTGTAGATGAAAACCAATTTTGTAGGAAGCGCCCATAAAATATCCGTCCTTATACCTATCCTGTAAGAAGCTGTGATGTTTAAGCATTCTGAGCAGAGATACATAAACAGTTAGTCCTAAAACGTCTCTTATTACGTGATTTTTAGACTTGCGAATATTTCATTAGATAGCATCTTATCAGCGTGTTTTTAATGCAGTTTATGAAGTTTTCAGCTTGTTTTAGATACGTTAAAAAGTCGTGATCTTAATAAGATAACGTCTCTGCAATTTAATTTAATGCATAATTTTCCTCAAATAAAGAGTGTACTATCTGCTCTTTGGAAACCCCAGAGAGACGTATGACGCAAAAATTACTGAGAAATTAATGAGCAGCTCTAAAACCAGAACATATCATTTTCTAGGGCTTAAAATAAGAAAGAAAGGTCAATTACACGGAAAATATATGCAGAAAAGCATATTTGTTCAGATTCTCCATGGAATATGCTGAGCTTTATTAGGCCGCCGAAGATCAATGTCAGACGTATACAGCAAGCCTTATTTCATTACGCTGTCGGAAAGTCTCGTATTTAAAATCCGGTATCTTCAGGCACCAAAATATCTTTTGTTTGGGATGAAAAAGTCCCTATCCTCTAATACAAGTGGCCTTGTGCTAAATTTGAGGTACGACACTGTTTCCGTGTTCTAACCGAAACCGATACTGACACTGATCGTCACAATAATTTCGCTGAAATTTAACACAATGGCACACGTAGTACGGAGCTTTCCAGCCGGAGGGAGCATAAGGGACTTCACTGCCCGGGATTATTCTGCATGGTAACAAATACTATATGGCCCACCTGGGTTATCCTTTTTAATCGAAATCCCAGTTTAAAAGTTTGGTTGAAATCTTAAGAATGATGCCATCTACTTTTGTTTCAACGGCGTCCGCCATGCGGCTAGTTCAAAGAGTCAGAGCCAGTGAATCTGTGATCGTCACCTGACAAGCGTGTGCCGTCATGATTTCATGAACGCCTCAACGGTGGGGACTCGATATGCCCCGAACTTTCTGGACTTCAGAGTGGTTAGGAAAACTGTATAAGCGCATGACAGAGTAGATAGAGTAATCACAGACTCTGGACAGAGAAAGATGAGACCCATCTGGGTGTAAATGTGGTCAAATGCACTCCCGTGAATGTCATGAACTTCAGCTTAGGAATCACTTACCATCTGTTGACAATTGACAAGGTAAAAACTGTGTCATTACAGTAAATATGGATTACAATTATAAAGACAGCACTTATTCAACAGTTACCCTCCGGAGAGTAATGCTGCTATTTCGAAAAGCCAATGTGTTTGGGTGTCAATTTATTATGCTTGTGACAGCACCATCCATCACCACAAAGTGCCAAACGTCGTCCTTGAAGGAAAAACTACCTTGGACACAACCGCTACGGCAAAGCGGGCTCACAATGACAGTTCGGCTGTTGAAAGCGACGGAGTCCACTGTGAGTGGCACAGCAAGGTTAAGGAGGGACAGTGAAATGTGCGGCATCCGCGCATTTGCTCCTCGGTCACGGACTTCGGCCGGGAGCGGGCTCAGCCATAATGCCTGACAAAGAGAAACAACCTCAAAGAAAAAGAAGATGCTATTAAAGGAACGGGAAGTTTATTGGCCTGACGTTTCGAAGTCGCACCCGCACCCATCACCAGAGATGGTGGCAGATAAACTGCCCCCGTATACGTGCCGTGCACGACCTAATCCCAGCGGGGTGGACCAGATTTTCACAGAAACAGGAAGTTTAGAAGAAACAGTGGCGATCGAACGTTGCTTTCGATAACTTCTCGTCAGGCCAATACAGTTATATGGGACGGGGTACAGTGAGTGAAAAAAATCGATAAAAGTTAGGTTTTAACTTACAGGTTAGGCAAAAGCGAAAGAGCGCAGAAAGGGTACGATGGAAGTTGGTAGCCCTGCCCACTGATTTTACAATTGTTCCTACTGGCTCAATTTCAGTAGCTGTGATTACGTTCTCATTATGTCTGGGAGTGCACGCGCAGAAGCCCTGTCAGGATGACTTTCTTCTTCACTTTAACCGCCCCGAGAACGTGGAACTGAAAAAATGTCTGCATAGAGTCATTTTACTGCACCCCTCACGGAAATATTTAGTAAAAGGCGAAAGATTTATCCTAGGCGGATTAAGATTCATCATGCTTCTCATTATGCTTTTATTTGCATGCACGCACTGTATTACCTGCATCAGATTAATAGCATAGGTACTATCCTAGGCGGATTGGCGCGGGTCTCCCTTTCGGCATTTAGCCTGCGCCCTTGAGTTTTTTTACTCCAGACCTCCAGTTGAGTCCGGCGTGATCGTGTACGAAAGGACAACCGGCGCGCAGATAGGGTGTCTACCGATGCTCCATTCACTGCATCAGTCGTATTGACAGTGTTGCCCTTCATCACCAGCCTTTACGAGCAGCCGGTTGTATTTGGTAGCAGGAAGGACTTTGTTCACTTCGACCGTCCCGAGAACGATGCGCTGCAAAAATCTCCCCACACGGCGCATCTTAAGTCTGCATATCGCAGTACACAGATCTTACCTGAAGGCATAACCATCCGTGTGCTGTCGCAGTATTTGTAATGGCATGACCTTTCGACATCTACATAAGACCTTACAGGTCAGTAGTCCTTTCTGTTGGAGATACTGCACTAGGCAGAGCGACTGGATTATTTTCAGGATCCGCGAATAATCTGTCGGCCTATCCATTTGCGGTCCTGCTTTCCTTCGCCTTCTAAGAGACTGGGCTCTGCAAGCAGAACAATGTGGACCTTCATATACAGAGCGCTAATTCCTCTTTACATTGCATAATACACCATTCACCCAAAGCAAACAACTACTGCCATATTTGTAATCCTAAATGTGGCCACAGTGGCAATAAACTATTATATACGGGTTTTCTCTTCCGCCCAAACATATTTTTCGCATTAAAGTCTTACCCCTCTTGCGTTATGCCGTCCTACGTGCCGCTGCATGACTCTCGTGTTCCCATGTCCATTCTGCCGGTTAGATTACTATCGCACATACTGCGGAATGACCTTAAGAGACATTGCTTTCTTCCTATTGGTTGTTCGCCTTCACTTGCTATTCTTTTCAACCTGGGGCAAGGATGCATTTATTCCGCATACCGTACTAGTTATCCATTCTTATTCTTATACCCTCCTTGCATTTTTCACCTTATTTAAATTAGGCTTCCACTTTAACATGAGCGTCAATTCCAGGCAGACAATACAAGCGCCATTTACGGCTCCACTCATTTGCCCACCCGTATAGCCCCTATTACCACCGGTCCCGTAAGACAGGCAGCTGGGAGTTTTTCGTACCGGAAGAGCTACCAACTACCATCTAACCGCAGAAAGTTATACGTGGTTAGTCAACCTTTGACCATGGTAAGCGCGCGGCCTGAGCGAAGATTTTCTGGGCGCATAAGGTCGGTTTTCGTAACCTGGTTGCGGCCGCTTCTGCTCTTTCTAACAGGCGCTGGCCCACCACACTGACCACCGAAAAAAAGTTG